TTATTATTCAGATGCGTTGCGCTTGTGAATCGGTCGATCCAAGAGGATCTACGTACGACGCTATTTACTTCACGTTCAACAAATATGTTTTACAAAATTTCATTCTAAGTTATGACATTTGTAAAACTTTGATATCAGTTTATTGAAGATTAGGAATCATAAATACGAATTTCTAGAATTTATAAAGCTTTGATATAGAATTTATGAAATTTTGATATAAAATAGAATTTATCGAATTTTTATGTAGAATTTATAAAATTTCGATATAAATTTATGGAATTTATCTAATTTTCATAAAGAATTACAAAGTTTTGATATGGAAGAGAATTTATCCAATTTTGATATAGAATTTATAGAGTTTCGATATAAATTTATAGAATTTATCAAATTTATATATAAATTAAGTTTAATACCCAACAACACGAACTGTGCTTCGAGTGTATTTTATACACAGTGTACTTGACTTCTCAATGACTCAAGTAACAACATATGCAACAATCTCATCCAACAAGATCCACTATTTGTATATTTAATCAGATATCGGTACTATAGCGATCGAAATAAGAATTAATTGGACTAAACGAATGCTATTAAATATTTTATGAAGAAGAAAAATAAATGATATAATAATGATTTCGTTTTCGTTGGTTAATTCTACGGGAATCGTCCACATGTAAATGGCAAGTTCCTGCAGCTTCGGACTTACCGGCGAGACGGTCGAGTAATTAAAGACGGAGACACAGGCAATCAAAAGATTTACATCGGCGACAAGGCTGTAGATTACTTTGGATCAAGTTTAAACAGGTTCGCGTCACGTCAGTTTCATTTATTAGGTTCCCAGATGCTCGTAATTATACGTCCACCGTGTATGGCGGCAAAAAAGATTATGGCCCGGGACACCGTGGGCGTCCGTGAGTCGAATTTCCGATTCCACTGTGCTCTTCTGAACATTCTGAAGTCTTTACACGGGCTTATGGCACGCCGTACTTCTCGGTTAGGTATAATTTAGTATCGAATATATTTTTCAACGAGAATCAATTGTTCGTTGCTATTCCATTCAACGAGGCAATGGATTTTTGTTTTCGTTTGGGTATGTGTTATCAACTATAATATATTATGTGAATTATGACGAACTATGATATATTACAACCAATTATAATAAATGTTTAATATCAAATTTAATTATTAGCTAAAAATTTCTAATTAAATTTTTATTGAAAATATACTAAAATATGAATTTCTATTAAAAATATACTAAAATATGAATTTCTATTAAAAATATACTAAAATTTCTATTTCTATTAAGAGTGTACTTATATTTGAATATATATTAAAATTATATTAAAATTTAAATTTCTATTAAGGATATACTAAAATTTAAACTAGTAAAAATATAATAGAATTTAAATTTCTATTAAAAATAAACTGGCATTTAAATTTATGTTCAAAATATATTAAAATCTAAATTTCCATTAAAAATCCCTTACAATTCGAATTTATAATTGCAAAAAGTGTGCCGCGCGAAAGCCCACGACTCCCTTAACTCTGGGACCACCATGTGCTGCTTCCACAGCGTGTTCTAGCTTCGAAATCGGCCCTCGAGAAGACCGTGGCAAGGAAATCTTTAAACCGACACCAGAGCCTAATCTGACATATAACCGGGACGCTTACAGTGTTGAAACATTTATCCGAGGGCGCGATTAATCTGTCCCGATCGTTTTCATTTTGCGGTCCTGAGGCGAAGTGCGTCTACATGCGTGCGCGCGCGCGTGTGTGCGTTCAGTTGCTCTTCTCGTTCGCGGCCAGATTTCCTCTTCAAAGCCCTTTTAGCCGGGCAAAGGATGCCTAGAGATGACGCTGGATAATCGGGCGGAACCTGTACCTGTGCCCGTGGCCTCCGAACCAAAACAAATCGAAAAATGAAGCGGCCAGAGAGAAATATGAGCGCGCACGAATTCCGGGGGTCCGGTTCACGTGGCAAGGACGAAATAGGACGCGCGATGAATAACGCTGAAATAGTCCCGCGGCAATAGCCTGATCCCGCGAAAACATTTCTTTCCACGTGGGAACGGTAGAATTTGGTACAAGCTCGGAGTTTCTTTCGAGAATAGTAATAATTATTATTATATATTATACATAATAATTATTTATTATTATGTAAATAGATTTCGCAATGAATCTTTAAAAAATGTATTTCCTATGAAATAAGTTATTAACAAACTCTAGAGTATATTATACATATACATATACTTTTTTTTCTTTTCTAGGATTAATAAATTAAGCCCGTTAATATATATCAAAATATAATAACTGTAAATACAATAGTATATTATACAAATTTCTGTATATATTTATACTTAATATCTTTTACTTAATATCTTACTTAATATCTTTCTTAATATCTTTTATACTTAATAAACTTTCTTTCTACTTTCTAAAATATATTTATACTTAATTGTTAATTATTGATGTAAATGATTTATATGCTATCAAATATTTATATTACAGATATGAATAAATTATTTGTAATATCATATATTATTAAAAATTATCCCACA